TCCTCCCCCGACTTACTTCCTCTCGATGCATGATAAGAGTTGGGAGAAACTACCGTTGGACCATAGGGACGAGTTGGGCGGGAGGGGGAATTGGAGTCAACATAGAGTTGATGGCCGCAGAGCCTTACAAATGCTACTACTATACGACCGTACACTCAAATAATTGTCTCTAGTTTGTGCATTATAGAATTGTATCGGTTTGATTTTTCAGTTACAGGCACGAGAAACCGCGTCCGTTACGATTTGGTCGATAGCGCTGGCGTCGTGAAGCGGTGACTGGAGCGAGCACAATATTCGTTTCGCAAAAATTCAGAAATATCATCGATCGCCAACTACTGAAAAATTGACATCATCACTTACATTGTACTGTAAAGAAGAATGAACAATTTAGTGAAGAGAAGACTCATATAGAGACATTAAAATGAAACTTCTGCTTTAGAGTTACAGTTACAGTATTCGTTGCAGGTGAGCTGATAGGAACTTCTGGCGTCCCATAGCGGTATATCGGCGATTTCAGAATTGCTATCAATTATTTACTTGTTCCTCGTGTAGCAGCACAGCTCTCATTTCCACAGCCTCATCTTTTTTTCAAAATGCTAAGAGTTTTCCAACTATAGGCGCTATCGCAAGGTGCGGGGGTATCCTAAAGGGTTAGGAACAGGAGGTGACAGGAACTTTTTTTTTAATTTTGTGCTTGACCTCGACAATGGCATTGTTTGAATTGAAAGGGATGAGAAGCGCCCAAGAGAGAATTGCGCCCCGCCTAAGGTTTAGTTTCGATTTAGCGGAAAGGAGATGTTTTGCGCTGTTTCGATTGCATTGTTATCACAGTGCCCCCATATCTTGCTATAGCACCCAAGTATAATATTAGATATTCGTCACTGCACTAAGTAAAAGCTAGAGGAACCTTCAGGAAGCTTTACGCTCTACCTTCGTTTTCGCACGCAAACATCCGGACAGGAAATCCGATGAACTGCTTCCCGGAATGCCGCCACGAAGTGCGGCCAGCATCGAGAAAGATCAAACTTTGACATTATAGGGCTTGAGAGCTTATACTGCAAGAGATGACATCATAGCTTGAGAGCTGTGAGTAATGGAGTGGACAGGGAAGGGGAAAGGAGTGAACAGGGAAGGGGAAAAGAGTCGGACATGGTTGACGGAAGTCACATGCCCTCTCTTCAGAGGTGTCTTAGATAGTGGATAGTGAGAAAAACGTTGCATTAGGAATAATTTCACCACTTCTGCTCAGGGATACGCTGGTCACACGGTTTATTATTGCGATCGTACGGACGAATTTTTTGTAAAATTTTTGAAGAAAAAATTACATTGAATTTCAACATCTCCATTAAAAGTCTCACCGATTATCCGATATTGTCATGGTTTCACATTTCAGTTGTGATTGTGCTATTTACGTGAGGAGTGCGGAAGTGGTTGTGGCGGCGATTGGTGCTATTTACTATGAGCACCTTCCGAGGCATCGAATTCTGGAGTCGGACGTGTCCAGACCGCAAAAACCTTCCTCCAGAGATTCGCGTTACTCCGAGCCCAAAACGTCTGGCGAGATCAAAACGCTATGTTGCAGCTAGCCATTGCAATGCATGGCAAGAATGGAACCGCGTTCAATGCTGCTACGATTCTGAATGGAAGTGGAATGCACGGCGTGTCCTGGAAAGGAACTTAACCAGGATGTGTTACCCTCTATCTCTTTAATCCACGGACTCATAAGCAAGGCTTTATTAGCATTTAAAATACTCACATTAGATTCAACGGCTGCTGATGGCGATTTTGATGCTCATGATCGAATTTTGGAGTTTATCCTGCTTAAACTCACCAAATCTTCCATCCTTCGCGTTGCCCAAATTTGATACCATTTTGGTGGGGCGGTTATGCGAAAATTGATTTGGTACTAGCGTCCTTCACAAACGGCTTGAATAAGTGAGATTCGCATTTATTTGACGTTACAATTACAACTGAGAATGAAAGCGAGGGTTTGACTGATGAGCCTCTAAGGTTTTATTATTTTACCACTTGAAACATCCTTTTTAGGAAAGCAGTTCGCATATCAACTACAAGATAGCGATCTCACAAGGATTTTTTTGAATGTCGTGCATACAGTAGAGAGGGCTCTCACGGGTGCTTCAAAACTGGGGTTCCATGGTAGCCTGAGTGGCCCATGAAGGACAAAAAAGGATTGAAAGATTCGCTTGAAGTGGGTGATTTTACAGCGTTGGAGTGATTTATGGATCTGCCAGCAAAGAGTACCCTGTTCCGATAATGAATACGACACCTACTTTTGGCACTGGCACTATTTAGAGGAAGTTTGAAAGCTTCAACTTAGAATGCTAAAAATTTTGTCATCACGGGGAATTGAACTTCCAGACTGTACATGTTGGCTTTTACGAGGCCCGATTCTGCGCCAAAGATAAATCAACAATTTCAAAGATTCAAAAGAATGAAGAAATGGTAAATAATGGCGTGTGTCCACTCAAGACACTTTAAAGTATGTTACATTTTTCAGGTGGAATCTAGCGAGAGCGTAACTGTCATCCACTATACAGCTAGACTCTTTCCACATGGCCCTATTTCCAGGCTAACTAAAAAGAATTCTCTATTAGCTCTCTTGAAAGGCACTAGTGCACCTTTCACTGCGCCCACTCCGTCAAAACGAGAGCAGGATTTTTCTTCCGAAATTTTTCCCATGATAAGCATTTGTCTAGATAGTTGGCTTTTTAGATGTGTAATGTCGTATCGCCCATGAACACGAATATCTCATTCAGTTTTGGCGTGAAACAAATGCCTAGGCCTGCCACAAATGCAGCGGCTTCAAGAGACAGAACACCTACGATTAAATCCCGCCGAATTAGCCGATGACGCTCCGCCCAGGGGTAGTTTGCACACCGTAGAATATGGATATTCGCTGATCCGTTCTTCGCACGTAAGCGCGTAGCCTGCGTTAAGTACGCTGAGGTGCCAAAACGAAGCTCCACAGGCCACTGGCGCTCAACTCATGGTGGTAGTGTTCACGGGTTAACATCCCTGAGACAAATTATCTTAAGCAAGAATCCATTTGTCTGACGAATTTCGTTGAGAAACCCGGCTCAGTTTGGGAGGTTTGGGGCCAGGGGACGAGTCGCTTGAAAATAATGCCAGATTCTCTGTACGGCAAGAATTTGGGATTGAAATAAGAAATAGTTAGTGACAACTACAGGCAAAAATTCATAACAATTTAATTGTGGTACAGATTAACAAAATCAAACATGAAGTAGTTCAAATAACGTAGATCAATAATGTGTTCCATGAGCACCATGTTCTGAACCGTAACCGCTATTTTTCCAACCGCTATGATGAGCGGCGCTTTCGTGATGATCTTTCCCATGCCCGTAGTCGCCAGCTTCGTATTCATCACCGTATTTCGCGTGAGCCGCGAGCGCAACCGCTCCAAATCCAGAAACGATTTCTAAACGATGCTCTGATTACACGAAACGCTTTCATCAGACCTTATCATGAAGCGTCATGCATCTGTCATGCGCTGCCTCGCTGGCCATGCCGTCATGGCCTTTCTTGAATCCGCCACCAGATGCTCCAGCGCTATACTTGGAGTTGTGCTTGGAGTCTTCGTATCCTGGAATATGCCCACTTCATTTAACCCAAATGAACATCTACACGTTACGTACTATAGAGCCGCTAGTAGGCCTCTCTGATATTCTCTCTTCGGATCCGGATCCTGCCACAAAGTACCTGAAGAACTTTTCACTCCGGTCGATCTTGACGATTGAATTTAATGTTCTCAAAGAGATAGGCTCCAAGCTGCATTCATAGAAACACGTGTCTGAACCCCATTGCGAGCACAGTGGCCGCGGAACTTTTCACCTCCGCCAAACATAGGATAAGCTGCGAAATTTCACAGAAGGCAAATATTTTCTGATATATCCTGGATACTTCTGACATGGAAAGGGCTCATGGAGGGGTACTAAAAAGACCATTCCTACGCTACCGCATCGCTCAGATAGCGCATAGCAGAGAAGAGCTTCAGAGCAAGGGGCAAAAACGGGAAGAAGTGTTGCAGGAAGATGGGTCCGGCCGACTGTCAAGAAGACCAACTTGCTGAGTTCTGGAGAGGGAACAGAGCCAATCTGGACGGCCATGGAGAAACCATCAAAAGAGTGAAGGACTTCCGATTCCGCAAAAGCGATCTGGCCGCCGACGACAGTGTGGACCAAGCAGTAAAGGCACGATCAACGCGACGAGGATGAAATAGAGGGCAGTGCAATGCTGGAACCCCTCTTGCGGATCAAAGATGCGCAAGATTGCCTGAAGATGTACCGAACAGTGGTAAGGCCTGCGATGCTATACGGCAGCGAGTGCTGGCCCCTGAACAAGAATCACGAAAGGCAGCTTCACTCCGCCGAAATGAGGATGCTGAGATGGGCCTGCGGCTGGACGCGACTGGACAGGGTCAGAAACGAGGATGTCAGAGCGGTCATGCAGACTGCCCCCCTCGAATTAAGGGTGTGCAGTAGCAACGTCTTCGATTGTTAGGTATGGACACCTGTGCTGAGAAGATCTGACGAGGACTTCGACAATGAACAGCCTCAAAGAAAAGGTGGAGGAACGTCATCAAGAGGGACCTAAATGAAGCCACTGCCACCGCAGAAGATTAGGTGAACAAAGCGGGGCGACCGATAACGATAGCGAACCCTACGACTGCGCAGGACTGACGCTGGGGAAGAGAAGAAGATATACCCGATGGCACTGAAGAGCAAATTCACCTGATGACAACGTACGGCGTGTCTTGGGCTGATCTGGAGAAACACACGAGCAATTATACTCATGACGTGTGCTATATGTTACGCTTACCCAGGGTTAGCTATCTGTTGGGAATTCCCAACGAGGGTGGTTGTACTTACGATTTTTGGAAAGGCATGTCGGCTTTTAGAGGTTCAAAGAGGAGCATAGTTGCGGAGAAATATGGTTAACTGCCGACAAGATTTTATAGCGAGTCACTTGCTCCAGGAGCTGGCCTGCTGTGACTGATCCATGCTTTCCTCCTTCTTCGTAGGACTCTTCTTTGTGGCCGTACGCCCCGCCTTTGTCGTAGTAACTTTTCCATCTGCATGTCCATGATCTCCTGAAAACAATCCGACATTGTGCCTTTACGAATCTTAAATGGATGAAATTCGAAATATTTCGTGCACAGGCACGTTACCGTAGGAGCCCTCTCGGTGGCCCTTGTGTTTGCCATCGTGCCCATACTTCTCCTTATAGTGACCACCTTCGTGACCTCCGTGCTCAGCTTCGTAGCCTCCATAGTGTTTATCCTCAAAGGGCAGGAGTTATTCAGGGGCAGGTACTTTTCACACTGTAAGTGAACTTACATATAAACCATGATCCTGTTCGTGCTCATCGTAGTGTCCTGCATGGTGATCGTGGTCGTGATCGTGATCGTGATGGCCACCACCGTAATAAGTGGAATATATGGTGGCAGGTGCGTCAGCGTGAACTACAAAATGAGCGATCACACTGTTTGCATCATGCACTGAGGAAACAATAGAGCCGAGTACAGACAAAGAAACGGTAGTAATCTGGTACCTGTGTTATATCGTTCATGTGTCGCTCGCCACATTTATATACGCATTCCGGCTGGTGTGTTTCTTCGTAGCTGCACGGCTTTTTCTTGGATGAATGATGCGTAGATAACTGGTACTGGAGCACATTGTCCCATTCTAATGATGTCGATTAGTGTGGCAGTTTTTGATTTGTGTCAGCTTACACGCTCCATTCCGTCAGCCCCTCCCGTATTGATGGACAGGAATTCCGCGCCAACTATATCTATCGTATCACTAAAGCCTTATCGATCAAGTATGACAGAAAATGTCCTGAAATTCGAGAGTTCAAACACTTTGAGTTCACCCTTGGCTACAGTGAACCTTGTACCTGTTGCAAAGGCTTGATCGCGCAGTAGCGGTCACTTTAGGTCAAAAGTGCTTTGTAACGTTGGAGTTCGATTTCCACAAAGTCCTGGCGCATGAAATGTTGTTGGAAAATCGCTTCCTAGCCAGAAAACTGCATTGAATGTATTGGTTGTCGGAAAAGTTTTGCGCATTTTCTTCTTCATCTTGCAAAATCTTTTGGGATCGTTTTGAAACATTCACTGTTAAACGCATGTGAGCGGTGGTTAATGCTCTCTCCACAGCATTTCTGTCGTAGCATTTCGCAGCGTTTGAAGCTTAAAAAATCGTCTTTCACTGAAGGTATGTTCGACTGCTCCTGCCTTTATAAGCCCACAAAATGCGTCGATTGAAGCGAACAGTAGGAGGTCTACATGTTGCTATGAACCTCCAATCTGTCTTTCATGATGTGGCAATTATCTGGTTGCCCATGCCAACATTTATTTATTTATAATGCACTCAAGGTGCGCCATCAATAAACACAATAACCTTAGTAGTAGAACATGATCGGAACGGAAGAGGTGGGCTAGAGACAATCTTTGCTTTCTGACCTACAGCAACGAGCGAAAATGCCATCAAACTAGGCTGTCAGAAGCTATACTTGACTAATAGGGACATCTAGACGTCTGTAGTTTAGTATCCTCAACAGCAAGCTTTTACCTTGCAGCGCCTCGTCAATAAAAGAAATATGAAAAAGGAAAGGGAATGTAGGGTCAGCTGGTCAACGCAACTAACCGAAGTTATTCCGGGGCGGGCCAAAGTAGTTGCCTCTTTAAGCTAAACACGTACCTCGGGCGTAAAAACCAGACCCAAGTGACAATAGGATAAACCTATGCCACCTGTTGACCCTACTTATGTATGGGAACAAAATCACAAATCTGGTCGGCTTGTTACCCTCAATGAAGAGTGCATTCTGAAGTCGATTGGAAGAGTTTCTGGGGCAATGCACAGGAGTGGCAGAGCTTTTTAGTGCTATCAGTGCACAGTGGCTACTTCCCAATATCGTCTAGAACAGAAGTGAAATTATGGCAGAAGGATATTTCATGACCTGACTAATAGGCCTTTGAAGGCCCTTTGGAGGCCTAGAACTTCTACAG